AGAACTGTTGGATCACGAGATTATGAATTTAGGCAATGGTAATTCAATTCTTTATTTGCTAAAGAGACAAGATCATGTGATGCTGTCATTCCGAAGTGTTCACCACCAAAATGTCAAAAGCAACAATAGAAATGCAAGCGTAAAACACGAGATCTTACCATTTACATTGCAGATTTGCGGATTCCCTGTCCCAAGACAGGCCCCATCTCTCTATTAATTAATAGGATGCCCATAGCCGACCAAAAATCTAGACAAAGGTACGAATATGATGGGAAGGTTAAATGCAAGGCTTATTTTGGTGAAGGAAGGAAGCCATACCTGTTGGCGTTTAAGAAGGAAACATATGGTACAAGACAATGACCACCAGCCACCAATGCCAAAAGCAGTCTCAGTCTCTAAGGAGTATTATTAGGACTGAGACAGTCCATTAATGTGGCACGGGAACAGCTAGGTTGTAAAAGGTGCACTAATCCCAAACATCAGATAGGGAGGAGAAGATCTTGGATGTTACGGGGTCATCCCCCAATCTGCCTGCAAAATTTTACTAACACTGCTCTTTTGGATTCATATTAGCAACACCTGAAATATCAAAAGTGATGTTTCAATAACAATAACATCCATACAATCTATCAGGCATGACCTTAAAAATTTCAATGCAATCTTATAGTCCGAAGGTATTACTTATTTTGATCTAAAAAAAGAATTAAAGAGTAAGGTTGTGCACTAAAGTTACAGCTAGACAGGCATACAAACTATTGAAGATCCACTAAATCTGGTTCGAAAGCAAGATAAATCTCAATAATGGTCATAGGCTCATAGCTAGTTAGCTACCATTTAAAAGATTTGAGGTCTGTTTGGTCCAACAGTGATAAATTCGGCTGAGAACATCTAGCAATTAGCATAAATAAGAGGTCAGCAATATTAGATTTCTAGCACAACTAATGCATGTCATCTTCAGTGATGAGAATTTGAGTTCATATATTCATTTGCAAACCTAAGATGGATCATAGATCCTTTCCCTTTTGACACAAAAGACCATATGCAATAAAATAAAATAAAATAAAAATTTACACAAGAATCCAAAATATGTGTGGACATTTTTCATCAAATTACCCACAGATTCAAAGAAAGCAGATAAGAAAGTTTACAAACAAACTATCAGAATATCAGTCAGAACTTAAGAATTTATGAAGGATGATCCTTGAAAAAAAACCTTGGGACACTTTATTCTTTAAATGGGGGAGTGGGTTACCCAACCATGATTCAGAAGTTTCTCAAGACCATCTGCATTAGCCTAAGGCAGTCTTAAGATATAAAGAAGTAAGGACTTATCAGACCCATACATATTTATGCTTATAGGTATGTTTAAAATCAAATGATTGAGGCATTGCACCATGTTTCTTACCTACTAAGCCTCCCACTAATAGCCTTCGCCTGCATCTCCATTTCAGGCTACCCAGGCACCAAAAGCATTGGCTTATTTCACACAGAATTGGCAAATAGCTATTAGCAGAATGCCAAGAAGACTGCAGACAGCCTGCATCTTCCCACTGTATGTGCAAGTGAAACTCTCAGGACCACTAAGCATGGTTGATCTTAAATCATCAAAACCTTAAAATACGTAAATGTAGATGGAAACTGTTTCTAGTTTAAGTCCAAGGAAAACTGGAGAACTCTTCCATGAAAAATTGCAAAAAATTTCCTCAAGTTATGTTCATAATTTCTTCATGAAATCTTCAATCCTCTCAGCAGCATCATGCATATTATTCTCCCTAACTCCATCCAGAAGCAAACGACATGTCTGATATCTAGGTAGAATGTCTTGTCCAATCATTGCTTCAAACAGCTGGTAAGCCCACTCAATTTTGTTTACTTTAGGTTTACAGAGCCCATGAATCAATAGCGAGTAGGTTGAAAGATCCAAACTAAGATGATGTTTGTTAACAATGTCATTAAGTAACATGCTCAACAAGCCCTCTTTGAAATTGGTTCTAAAGCATAACTTCAGCAGTGGGTAATAAGTCTGAACATCAGGCTTGCAAAGATTCATATCCTCCATCTCCTTGAGGACATTGAAGGCCTTGTGCTCTTGATCATGACAACAAAACATACTAATCATGGAATTATATGTAGATGCATTGGGGATAACACCACTCTTTAGCATCTCCACCTCAAAAACATAAACTGCATCTTGAACTTTGCCAGCTTGCCCCAATGTATGGATCAAGCAATTGTAAAAATGTGTATCTGGTTTACATCGCTCAGTTTTCATTCTCTCAGCAATCTGGAGGGCTTCCTCAAATTCCTGTGACTTTGATAGCCAACACATGACAATGGTGTAAGTGACAGAATTTGGATGACAACCTTGTGCTACCATCTCATCAAGAAGTTCATAGACTTTACTAAAGTTATATTTTTGGCAGTAAGATTGGATGATGGTTGAGTAGCTGATAACACAAGGGCGGCAGCCATGCCCCTTCATTTCTTGAATCGTCCAATGTGCCTCATCACCACGATTGACTTTACACCAACCATGAATGAAAATATTAAATGTGTGAGCATCTGGCAGAATGTGTGACTTGAGCTCCAAGAATATTTCTCGAGCCTGTTCTACCTTATTCTCTTTGCAAAGAGTGTCAAGTAACAAGTTCATAGATTTTGTGTTCTTCTCCAATCCAAATTTTCCTAACTCATCAAATGTCTGAACTGCATCTTCCCACCGCCCTGCACCAGCAAACCTTCTCATAACCTTGGCTACTGTGTTCAGTGTGACAAGATGATTCTCGCGCATTTCCTCTAAAAATTCCCTCATTTTATCCATTTGTTTCATTTTTCCAAGTATGTCAATCATGGTATCATATGCATCAGGTCTATGTTTATAGCCTGGATGTGATGCTGCCCATCTAAAACTACCCAATGCAGATCTCCAATCGTTCTTGAACCGGTGAAGCAACTTACCAACAAGATCATCGGAGAGTTGTATAGCACTACACTCCTGGTCATTTACAAGACATTGGAAAACCTCATCATCACTGCTTCCCACATGGACCTTAGCTATGAGAATATCAATGTCACATTGCCCTACTTCTTGATAACTTGATCCAGTCGCATGGAAAAGGGAAGAAGATATTGAGGCTTTGATAAGAAACTGTGTATTTTTAAGGCAGTGCTGAACCCAGGAGATCATTGAAGAATGGAATTAAGATTTGGGTCGTTTCAACTGCATCCACAGAGGGAAAAACATTAGAACTGTTTGATTTGGAAAACTTTCTTTTCTATTTTCCTTAGTTTCTGTAAAAAAGAAATAACAATTTTAAGAAAAAAAATCCTTTATTGTGGTAGAGACCAGAAAAAAGAACAGAAAATTTGGAAGCAGGTCAGGGGTATATTTTTGATTCTTTGCTCAGAAGATTGAAGAGAATGACTGTGAAGCAAACTACATTAATAGACAATAATGGTTGACATAATAAACAAACTATTTAATTCGTATAACTACATCCACAACAAGAAGCCAAGAAAGCCAGCTTCCCCTTTAAATTTAGATTTTGCAGAGCCAAAAATTCTCCGAACTTATATCAAGAATGTCCCTTTAGTAATCAGTAAGCTAACAGGGACGCATGCTGAGATAAACCAATAAAAAAAATTTGAAATAGTGAAGGCAGAGTAAAAATAAAACTAGCATAGTATGTCTATACAGCTCATTGAAGCATTTCATCAAACATTAAACGGGCATGTCCCATTTTTATCAAATACCCACCATTTGAACTGCAATTCTTAGCAAGCTTTTCTCATAAAAATTTCTTCTTTTCTGCACCAAAAAATGACAACAAGACAAGCCAAAGAAAATGCAAGCCTTGCTCTTCCTTTTCAGTTTCTTCTCAATGCAAATTATCTACTAAGAAGTTGAGATAACGGGTTTACCTGAGTAAAACAGAGTGCGTCTGCGACAGAAAAGCTGTGACTTTGATGTTATTTGAAGCAGAGACACTGGATTCCGAGGCTTTCTTCTGCCTATTGTATTTGGATTATTAGCGTTGCTTCTGCCTTTGCCACTAATTTGGAAGTTTTTATAGTTTTTCCTTTGTCGAGGACAAATTAGCCTTCGGATTCTCCATATTTTCTAATGGCCTCTTTAAAATTATTTTGAAAGTAATTAAGTACTCCAAATTACAAAATGATACCCACAACCCCCGGGAAGATGGAAACCGCAATGTCCCAGTTAACTTTAGGTTAACTTAGGTTAATGTATTGGTTTAACTCGGTGAACTTGTTTTAGTATTTGAATTGTATCAAATTATAAAATAAAAGTTATTGAAGGATAGAAAAACCTTTAATATAAGAGAGTTCAATCATATACAATGATTAATTTTGTACTATCCAAATTAACATAACTTTTTTTTCTTAACTTTATTATTGTATCATATTTTTTAACAATATTATAGGTACAATACTATATAAAATTGTAAATTTATAATTATAATATAATATTAAATGAATAAATATATATAATATTATAAAAAAAATTTGAGTAAAAAAAATCAATTATATAATAATACATCTTATAAACTTATTATTACTATATCATTTTTTATTTTTTAAAGACAAGTAACAAGACTCTTGAGAGATGATAATTTTCCTTTTCTATGTAAGGTTCCATAATAAAACTAGAAGATGAAACCTACTTCAATTTGATACATAATGCGAAAATGATATAATTATAATGTTCCAATAAGGGTAGAAGAACAACCAACAAAATTAGTCCTACAATTACTTAACCCTCTATGTCTAATTAGAAAACTTTGAGGGCTTAAGGACAATATTGAAAAAAGTAGATAAAGTTTGAGGGGCTACCAAATTAGATCCAGAGTACATAATTCCTTAAACATGGTTCAGAACCACGGTAAAAAGGAAAAAAAGAGAGTAAATATAACTAATACACAAGTAGATATGCCGACCATGGAAAATGTTTGTGCTTCATAATGTCACCCACAGAACATGAAAGCTAAAGGTCGAAAAGGATAGGAGAATGGTCATGTCATGGCTGAGAAGCAGATGGATTGATGCCCAAGTGCCTCTCAAGTGCTTCTTGCCGTTTTTCCATCTGTTTCATACTGTTTTCAAGCTCTTGAAGTTTCTCCCAAATCCTATTCAACAAGAGGGAGATTCCTTGACTACTCTCTGCCTCTTCTCCTCTTTCTGTCTCTTGTCTAGATGCTGCCTTCTTCTTGCCCCTGTTTTCCTTGGGGACCCATTGTCCATCCTTCTCTTCATAACCCATCAAACTCAAAGAATTCTTGCCAATTGGAGTCTCAGAAGAGTGGGCTGTAAATTCTTCATGAATGTGCTTTCCAAATGTGTTGTCCAATATTTTACTGATCACTTTTCCAAACGCCAATTTTGCAGCATGCTTATTTCTTATTTCCTTAATGCACTTCAATATCCAATGAGCCAAGTCTGGGGGATCCTTTGTAATGATTTTGAACATCAACCAAAGATCTTCCCTTGTCATTCCAGAATGCTTGCCAGCCCGAGGATTGATGATATAACTGATTATAAGATGCAACAACCTCCTATGCATTGATAATTTATTAATATCGAAGCATGCTCTGGTTAGTGTGTTGTCCTCAAAGACAACTTTGCAAGCTTCTACATCATTAAAACTAGCATCATATTTACAGCCATTAGCCACCCTTACTCCAATAGCTTTCTTAACAATCCGATCATTGATCTCAAATTCTTTACCTAAGACAAAGCTATTAAACTTATTCCCACCAGTATGATTGACAATGTGACGACTCCCATCTTCACGAGAACCATTCAGATCCATGTTAAAATAAAACACTTTTACTAGAGACGTGTAATAGCTTCTTTCCATTGTCAAAAACTGTATCCAATTCCACTTCTTAAAATCTTCTAAGAAAGGAAAACCAATAGTCTCAAGGAAATTAATATCAATAGTGCGTCCAGGGAGTACCTCTCTGTCTTTAAATGCCATCTTCTTCCCTTTGCCTTTCACTTCCTGGAATTCTGATCTGGCTTCCTCTGAGCGGAAGTTTTCTGTGTCAAACTCTCCCAAATGATCACGCTTGGGCTTTGAAGAGTCCTCTCCAACTGCATCCTGTTTTCTCTTCCTGGTCTTTCTCATGACTGACAAATTGCAGAGAAAATTCGAAAGTGGAGACTCACAACACTGGATGGTACAGAGAGATGAAGGCTTGCAGCCAGAACACCAAATTAAGACTGGAGATGGGAGAATGAGGCCGCTGGAATATGGTGAAATTGGCCAACAGGGAGATCACTGAAGAAGTGAATTAGGAATTGGGTTGTTTCAACTGCATCCACATGAGAGAAAAGCATAAGAAATGTTTACTTTAGAAAACTTCTTTTTATCTATTTTCCCTATTTTCGGTAAAAAAAGATATATATTGTTGCAGAGATTATAATATAGAATAGAAAATTTGGAAGTCGTTCCGGGTGTGTATATTTTGTTTCTTTTCTCGGAAGTTTGGGAGTGTGAAGGAGCAAACTACATAATGAAAAATAATGATTGACACAATAAGTAAACTATTTATTTGGTCTAACTACATCCCAAACAAGAAGGAAACCATAAAAAGCCAGCCCTCCTTCCAATTTTCTTGGCTGCGCCAAATAGTCTGAGCTTATATCAAGGATGTATCTTCAGTAATCAGCAAGCTAACAGGGAGGAATGCGAGATAAACCAAGAGAACGAACTAAAACAGTAAAGGCAAAACGAAAATAAAACTAGCATCCCTAAAAGCATGTGTATACAGCTCATTGAAGCATTTCATCAAACACTAAATGGGCATAACGCCATTTCTGTCAAAACCCAGTAACCCACAACTTGAAATGGAATTCTTGGCAAGTTTTTCCCACAAAGATTTCATCTTTTCCACACCAAGGAATCAAAACAAGACAAATCAAAGAAAAAGCAGTTCCTTTTCTTCCTTTTCAGTTTTTTCTTATCTACTAAGAAATTAAGATCAAGGGTTTACCTGAACGGAGTGAACCAAAGTGCGTCTGCAACAGAAAAGCTGCGATTTTGATGTCATTTGACGCAGAAACGCTGGAATTTTGAAGATTTGTTCTGCATGCTGTACTTTGAATTAAGTGGTGCTTGTCCCGGCGCGTGCCTCTAGTTGAACAGCTTCTTTTTCCATTTTTTTTTCCAGAGAAGTGTTTGGAATTTTGAAAGCTTATTTAATTTAATTTAAAAAGGACAATATACAGTAAAAAGTATAGATGGTCTAAGGGCTGATTGGAGAGTCAAACCTGCAATTTTAACAGCTCATGGTGCGTTTTTTGTCTTGGGAAAATGAAACTTGAGAGACAATTTTTATGGGAATACATGTGTTTAGGATA